CACCCATCGTCCTGCCTCAGCCTCCCCAGTGCTGGGATTACAGGCGTGTGCCACCATGCCCGGCCATGCTTCCTCTTATAACTATGACCATGAATAAACCTCATAGGCTGCTGGTTTTTAATACACAGTTGATGTCCAGTTTTAGGTCAAATTTCTCAATGTATATAATAATTTACCAAGCCTCTAAAACTGAGACTTGCCTAGACTTAGGCCCCATCATAAGTATATCCTGTAATATAAGCGTTCCCTACTTCCAGTCATTTGTTCTTCCTTTCAGTGTTAGCATATGTGCTGCTGGAGCGAGCACTATTCTTCCCTTCAAAAGACTGAGTATGTTCTTGTTTATCTCATGACCTGAAATTTCCTTTCTTTCTCCTAGAATTTATCAGAGCCTTGATTACATAGAAGATAACGCTACAGTTTTTCATGCCTACTATCTCTCTGCAGTAGCTAATGCTGAAATAAAAACCTCAGTGGCTTTAGGTCATTTCATTCTGCCTCCTGCTTGCCTGCAAAAAGGTTAGCAACGATCATTCAGCCCACACCTGTGTGCCGAACCCAGCTAATCCTCCTTTAGGCAGACAAATTCACTTTTGCTCTTTTGTTCTCAGTCAGAAAAGGTTGAGCTTTGCGTCATTTAATACAAGTGGGAGGACCTTGGCCTTGGCATTAATTTGCCTTGCGTGCATATCCTGGTTTAGTTATTCACGGTCACTGAGCTCCTCCTGTAGGGCAGGTTCCAACCCAGGACTAGGGAATCCATGGTTAAAACAGATGCAGATCTTTCCCTCCAAGTGTGCCCCAGCTAGGACCCAGTGCTTACTCGTTTTCCATCTTTAGCAAGTTATTAAACTTTTTCCGTGTTGTTTTGGGGATAAAATGATACAATGCATGACATGGAGAGCATCTGATATAGTCTTTGTTAGTTTGGAGTCTCTTCATTACTTTTCTGAATTTTTCTTTAAAGGTTGGTTTTGGGCCGGGTGTGGTGGTGCATATCTGTAATCCCAGCACTTGGGAGGCTGAGGCAGGAGGATCACTGTGAGTTCGAGGCCTGCTGGGCTCCGAACTGAGTTTAAGGCCAGCCTGAGCTGCACAGTGAAACACTGTCTCAAAAAGGCAAAAAAAAGAAAAGAAAAAAAAAAGTTGGTTTTGGCAGTACTTGAGATTGAATCCAGGGTCTTTGCTCTGAGCTATATGTCCATCCCCTTTATTGTTTTTATTTTGAGACAAGTTTTGCTGAGTGTCTTAAGTTGCTTAGGCTGAGTTTGAACTTGCCATCCTCTTGCCTCAACCTCCCAGAGTGCTGGGGTTACAGGCATGCACCAGTTTGCCCAGTTTGTAATTTTCTTAAGACTTCTAGAAGTATATTCACATTTTTTCACAACCCTATGAAGTTGAAAGGGCAAAATAAAGTTCTCAGATCTGTGTTTTTGTGTTTCTTACTTGGAACTTTCCAGTTAAATTTTAAAGTTTTCCTGAGCTGTGCGTGGTGGTGCATGCCTGTAATCCCTGGTGATCCCAGCACTCAGGAGGCTGAGGCAGGAGGATGGTTGTGAGTGCAAGACCAGCCTGGACTACAAAGTGAGCTCAAGGCCGGCCTGAACTGCATAGCAAGACCCTGTCTCAAAAGGACTGAAAAACAACAAAAGCAAAACTATGAAGTTTTCCTTACTTTTTTTGTTTCCTGAGACAGAGTCTTACTATGCAGTTCAGGCTGCCCTTGAACTCACCTTATAGCCCAGGCTGGTTTCAAACTTGCAGTGATCCTCCTGGCTCAGCCTCCCAAGTGCTACGATTACAGGTGTGCATCACCATGCCCAGCTTTCTTTCTTTCTTATCCTATTCAGTTGTCCACCTTGTACCTATCTTTTCAGAGCTAATTTGAAATATTCCAATGTGTAGGTCAACATCATTAGCTAACGTTTGATATGTATCTTGTTTACCCAGTGGTTATGTGTCCATCTCAGAAAAGACAGATTAAAGCCGTGGATAAATTCCCAGAGAGGAGAGCATTAAAGAAAAATGCTAGCCAGCATGGGGTGCACACCTGTAGCCACAGGACTGGGGAAGCTGTGGTTGGAAGATCACAAATTCAAAGCCAGTCTGGGCCACATGGTGAAATCCTATTTTAAAAAAAGCAAGAAAAAAACCCCCCCACTGCTATGAAAATAAGCAAACAGACAAAGCTAAAAAACTTGAAAATATTTTCGTGGAGGAGCCTTTATAAACATCAAATATTGATTTCTTCTGTAGTTGATGTCCTAGAAAAATCTAGATGTAATTTATAACTACAATGCTAAATTGTTCTAAATCCTTTTTTAAAAATGCTTATGCAAATTGGGCCAGGCCTGGTGCCACACACCTGTAATCCCAGCATGTGGGAGGCTGAGGCAGGAGGATCATTGAGAGTTCAAGACCAGCCTGGGCTACAAAGCGAGCTCAAGGCCAGTTTGAACTGCATAGCAAGACCCTGTCTCAATGACAAAAAAAACCCAAAACCCTATGTAAATAGATTAATGACTAGATAAGATAATTGACTTATCCAGAAAGTATTTGTACTGATTAGTGTCCACTTTCAAGGAGTTCATATTATAAAATGACCATTCAATCTGATTTTTTTTTTGTTTTTTTTTTTTTTGTTTTTTTTGAGGCAGGGTCTCCCTATGCAGTTCAGGCTGGCCTTGCTCACTTTGTAGCCCAGGCTGGCCCTGAACTTGCAGCGATCCTCCTGCCTCAACCTCCTGAGTGCTGGGATTACAGGCGTGCGCCACCACGCCCAGCTCTGATTTTTAAATTGTCTTCCTTTTTTTTTGGTACTGGTAATTGAACTCAGGACCTTGTAGTTGCTAGGCAGTGGCTGTGCCACTGAGCTATATCCCCAGCCCCTAAATTGTCATTTCTGTCTGAGTTTTTAGAATTTTAATTTCTACTAGTACGCGTTTGCAGTACATAATGATTACGTTCAGGATGGGAGTTGGTCCGTTTACATAAGTCATCTTAATTCTTTTTATATATCTTGCTCCTGCTCTTCTCCTTTGGAGTTTAGCATCATATGTTATTGTAGGTTTGCTTTGTTTTGTTTTGTTTTGTTGAGAGAGGGTCTTGCTGTGTAGTTCGGGCTGGTCTGAAACTCACTACATAGCCCAGGCTGGCCTCGAATTTGTGGTGATCCTCTAGCCTCAGCCTCCCAAGTGTTGGGATTATAGGTGTGTGCCACCGCACCCGGCTGTTACCATGTATTTAAATTTTAAAAAGAATTTGTTTTAAATGAAACATGATGACGGGAGTGGTGGTGCATGCCTGTAATCCCAGCACTTGGGAGGCTGAGGCAGGAGGATCATTATGAGTTTGAGGCCAGCCTGGGCTACAACATGAGCGCTAGGCCAGCCTGAACTGTACAGAGAGAGAGACCTTGTGTCAAAAAGACAAACAAAGAAAAAAAAAAAAGGAAACATGATCCTTTCAAAAAACAAAAGTATGTGCTCACTTCAATAGCACATATACTAAAAAAAAAAGTACTTACCTATTTATACATGAAATTAATTCTTTTTTCTTTTTGTGGTACTGGGGATTGAATACAGAGAGACAACAAAAATCTAGAAGAATGTTATTCTTTTTGTCCTCTGATGCGCTACTGTGGAAATTTCTGATGTCCCTGCGTTAGAAAGATGTCAGTAATTGGACATACTGAGTGTTACAGAGTTTCTCCTTACTGTACAGATTGCTTATCTGCTTTTAGAAAAGTACAGTAATTCCTGAGCATCTCTCCTCTACAAACTGATCAGTGTTACACTCTTTCGTTTTGCCTGGACAAGTTGTTCTTTTTATTAATACTTGGCCTAATACAGACAGTCATACCAAGATGATTGCAAATTTGAGGCCAGCCTGAGCAGTTTAGTGAGACCCTGTCTCAAAAAAAAATAAAAAGGGCTGGTAATGTAGCTCAGTGGTAGAGCCCTTGCCTAGCATGCACAAGACCCTGGGTTCAATCCCCAGTACCACAAAAACACAACAAAAAATGGAGACACATCTGACAAAGACATCCTAACAGGAGACATTAAAAACAGTGAGTCTTATAGTAACGTTAGAATTGTCCAGAGTTTGTTAGAAATGCGAATTCCCAAGCTCCTCCTCAATCATCTGATCCAGTAGGAATCTGTATTTTTAACGAGTTTCAGTGACTTTGATGCGGGTAGAATAAGGCTGGCCTAGAAATTTCAAATTTCATGCAAAATTCTAAAGTTATGTTAAAAACAGTATTGGATTTGTTTTTCCCACCACAGACATAAGAAGAAAAATTGGTAGTTTTATTTGGGAACGAGACGAACAATTTCCGATAGAAAAGGTAAGAGTAAATTAAAGTACTTGATTAGAATGTGCAATTTTGAATTTTTCTGAAGACAGTGTAATCTTAAAATGTTTACTTGTGACATGTTAAGCACTGAGACAATAATTTAAAGGACATGCTTTTTTGGACATTGTTTTACAGTAGTACATTGATAAATTTGAGAAACTTTTAAATAAACAAGGCTAAGCGCCAGGCTTGGTGGCACAGGCCTGTAATCCCAGCATTCTGGAGGCTGAGGCAAGAGGATTGCCACAAGTTGGAGGCTAGCTTGGGTTGCATAGTGAGGTCAAGGCCAGCCTGAACTATATAATGAGACCCTGTCTCAAAACAAACAAACAAACAAACCCAAAGACTATTGGCATAAAAAACTTGATAGCTGGGCGTAGTGGTGCTTGCCTGATGTCCAAGCATTTGGGAGGCTGAGGCAGGAGGATCGCCTAGAGTTCAAGGCCAACCTGGGCTGCATAGTGAGTTCGAAGCCAGTCTAAGATACAGAAGATCCCGTCTCAACAAAAAGAAAAAGGAAACTTGAAAATGTTTCCAATCAGTAATAGCAAGAGAGTGATGAGTACATGGTGCTTACCAGCTCTTCACTACTGGCATAGATTCACTGCGGGTGTGCTATACCATTTGTTAAATTTTGTCCACAGCAATCCTCCAAAAGCAGAGAGAGAAAAGGGAAAGGACGAAAGGAAGGAAGGGGAAGAAGAAAGGAAAGATGGCTGGAAGGAAGGAGAAAAAGGATGGGATGTGGAAGTTTTTGCATTACAAAATAATAATAGTTAATAAATATAGAAGGGATGACAGAATAAAAAGTCCCTGTTACAACCACCAATATACTTGATTAGGCAAGGGTCCTCAGTGGTTGCTAAAACCGTGACTGCAAATTATCACCCACAGACTAGTCCTTAATTACAAACAGTCCATTTACAGCAGACAGGTCTGGACCACACTACCCCAACCAAATGATCAGATTTAGCCTCCACTGCATTGGAGAAACTTCATTGTGTTCGGTCTGATATGATAGTATAAGTACGCAGTATGACCCATGAGGTATTCTTACTTAAAATGTCATCATCTGGACAAACCCATATGTCAGTAAACTGGCCTGGTCAATGTCATTAAAAAACGAAAGGCAAGAGGACTGTTCTAAGAGTTACAAACCTTGATTAGATTCCGTAGGTTTGCCGGGCATGATGGCGCATGCCTGTAATCCACGCACTCAGGAAGCTGAGGCAGGAGGATCACTGCAAGTTCAAGGCCAGCCTGGGCTACATAGTGAGTTCAAAACCAGCCTGGACTACACAGTGAGACCCTGTCTTAAAAAAAAAAAAAGATTCTGCAGGTTTTAAATCAACAACAAAAAATATACGTAAGGCATTTTGAGGGAAATTAGGAAAATTTACTAATGGACTATATATTAAGTGATACTGAATTAATTGCAGTTTTATTAAGTGGGATAGTGGTATAAGGATAAAGGCATTTTTTAGAAAATGTATGCTAGATTTTTTTTTTTTTTGTCTTTTTGAGACAAGGTCTCACTATGCAGTTCAGGCTAGTTTTGAGCTCACTTTGTAGCCCAGGCTGGTCTTGAACTCGCAATGATCCTCCTGCCTCAGCCGCCTGAGCGCTGGGATTACAGACGTGCACCACCATGCCCGGCTAATGCATGTTAAGGAGTAGAATTATATCTGCAAATGTTTTCAAATGGTTCATCAAAAATACAGAGGGACATTCAAGGTGGCAAAAATATAAAGCTAGATGGAAGGTATATAGTGTTTATTGTCCTATTCTTGAAGATTTGAAATTTTTCACAGTAAGAAGTTAGGGACAATGCCGGGTGTGGTGGCACACGCCTGTAATCCTAGCACTCTGGAGGGAGGCTGAGGCAGGAGGATCATTTTGAGTTCAAGACCAGCCTGGGCTACAAAGTGAGCTCAAGGCCAGCCTGAACTGCATAGCAAGACCCTGTCTCAAAAAAAAGCCCCCCAAAAAAGAAATATCATATGAGAAAAAGTTTCAAAAGTTAAAGAGAATAACACCAGTTTTATTTATCCAGTGCAACCACAGCTAGGACTTAAAATATTGTCACCTTCTTTCTTTATGTATCTCTTGAAGTACATAGCATGGTTATACAAGTGCTTTTTTTTCTATTTTTTTTTTAGGAGTGCTTTTGTATAGTGGGCTAGATTGAACAAACCCTGTCATCTCTCTGTCTGTCTGTCTGTCTGTCTCTCATTTACTTTCTCCCCTTTGACATTATTGACTGACTCATTGGTTTGCTGACTTTTTAAAGTGTGATTTCTTTTGCTGTCCACAGCATGATGAAGTAACATCAAATGAGATAAATGCCGTTAGGGAAGACAGTGAACTAGCCACAGAGAATGAGAAGGAATTGTCCAGAAGGTACTGAACTCCTGTACTTCACTGATACTCAGTTCAGGGTGGGTCACTGATCACTGATTGTGTGCAGTGTTTTCCTACAAGATTGATGTCATCATCATTATCATTCCTATTTCACAGAAAAGGAGACCTAGGATTAACAAGATTAATTTGCCCAAGTCATACAAACTTTGATTAAGTGGGGGAGAAGTAGGATTTGAGATGACCAGTCTAATTCTAGGGCCGTTGTGTTGACTGTGCTGTCGGACCCTTGCAGGAAGGAAACAAGGCTTCCTTAACTTCCACAAGTTACATTCTTTTAAAAATATTTTAAAGCAGGGTATGATGGTGCACGCCTGTAATCCCAGCACTTGGGAGGCTGAGGCAGGAGCATCATTGCAAGTTCAAGACCAACCTGGGCTACAAAGTCAGCTTAAGGCCAGCCTGCACTGCATAGTGAGACCTTGTAACAAAAAGACACACACAAAAAAAAAAATGAAAAAAATTGAAAAAAAATTTTAAAATAAAAAATACATAGGCCGGGCGTGGTGGCACACGCCTGTAATCCCAGCACTTGGCAGGCTGAGGCAGGAGGATCGCTGTGAGTTCAAGACCAGCCTGGGCTCCAAAGTGAGCTCAAGGCCAGCCTGAACTGCATAGCGAGACCATGTCTCAAAAGGACAAAAACAAACAAACAAAAAACAATAAAAAATACATAAAATTGTATCAGTAATTTCTAAGTTAACAGTGATTTCCTCTTTTCTAAATTATTTATAATGTGGTTACTTTGGCTTAAGAAATTCAGCTTCAGAGGCAGTCAAGCGTGGGCGTGCCCTGTGTTAGGAGAGGCACCTCTCCATGCACACTTGGTCCGGACCCAGTCCTACTTCCATATTTTCCAGTTATGTAGTTTTCAAAGTGTATAGGGAACATGGGTTATTTAAAGGTTGGTATTTGGCTGTAATCATTGAGTAGAAATTTTCTTCCTTCATATGAAAGTTAATGGACTTATTTATATACTTTTTCCATTTTAGGTTTTTCATTCATTAAGGCTAATTTACTTAGCATTCCAAGAAGTCTTACAAACCTGGGGAAAATATATCCAATCCAATAACAATAAAGTTGACAAAGGATATAAATACTCTTAGTAGTGTCTGCCTGGAACCCCCTTTGTGTGTGTGT